ATATAAATTAACATAAAAGTTCAGATAGATAGATAAAGTCTTATCACCCACATTTACAGAAAAACTTTAATTTTATGCAATTTTATTTTTAAAATAAGGTCTTTATTTAATCGTTGCGAGTCAAGATATTTCTTTTAATATTTATTATTACGTAAAGAGACATTTACCTATTTTAATTAAGACATTAAAAGGGGGAAAAAAGTGAAATTAAAAATAGTTCTAATGCAAATTCTATATTACATCTGTTATTAAATGTTAAATATATTTATAAAGATGTAAAGGGAAAAATTTATAATTAACAAATTTAGAACATGTTATAAAACTTCCCTATATTTATTTAATTAAAATCTATGAGGTCGTGAAGGAAAAAAAATATGTTAAAAACTCTCATAACTCGTTTAGAAATGAATAAATTTTTCTATAATACCGTTAAATAAGAACATAATTAAAGTTTTAATTTGCAATTACACGCTTCTCTTTCAAAATTTTCCTTGAATTTATATAGAATTCAATGCATTTCACGGTCACGTAAACCGATACAATCCATTCAAAAAATTACAATAATAATGTAATTCAATTAATTACAATTACATTTTAATATATTAAAATAGTATTTTTCTAAGCTCTTTTTTTTCCCCCTTTCATTCTTCTTTCAAAATTGTTTCTTGTCTATTCTTAAATTTTATGACTCATTTTATATATAAAAATGAGAATAACAAGATTTAAACAAGTCAGTTTTTATAATAATTTTCCTTGAATTTTATTTTTTAATTAACTATTTTTGTGAACCAGAAAAATAAAAGTTTCTTTGCATATTTAACTAATGATTCTAAAATATGTCAGAAAGAAAATAATCTTATAAGTTTAGTTTTGTAGATTTGACAGTAAGATTTTTGGTAATTAGTAGCGTATCTCTAAGGAATTTCCTTACAGATTAAATGTTTACTTGTACGTCAAAATTAATATCTTTTTTTTTTAAAGATATTTTTCGAACTTTCACTCGTATCTAAAGCCATCGAGAGCACGTATAAGGTTAGAGATGGTCCCTTTTTATCCTTTAGAGGACCCTGTTGCTCCTTAGCGAGCCTTCTTATATTTTTTAAACAAATAAATTACGTAGAATGCTTCTTTATTAATTAAAAAAAACAGTTTAAAGATTTAATTTTTTGTTATTAAAAACTAACATTAATTTAAATGGGTAGGAACGATTAAGTTTTTTTCCATTCCAGGGAAAAATACTCAGACTCTCTCCCTCTCGAATGCCTCGCTCGTATCTTAATTTTCTACATAATAATTATTAATAAAAACTGTAAATATGATCTACACAATAACTTGTGAAAAAATCGAAAGTTATAAAATGTCTGATTACTTTCTCATAAATAAATAAAAAAAACATATTTTTATAAGCTAGTAGGAAAAGAAGATTTCTTATGGGATTTTTAGAAAGTTAAAAGGAAAAAGGTGAGAAATGTATATATTAATAACAAAAAAAATATAATAAAATTTCAGGTCTAACGAGAATTTTTAGGAAAATTTTACTTGATGATATTCCTCTTATTAATTAGTACATGCGTGTTCCTAACTACAGTTCTTTTTTTTTTTAATTCTCTCTCTCTTTTTTTTCAGTTATCGGGTAAACAGCTTTATTAAATTATGTCTAGTTTTATAAATGCTAAATTGTTTTTTTTATTAAAAACAATATTTAAACATTTAAAAACAATATGTTAATTAGAAAAACTTATTTTTAAAATTGTTTTTCCTCCATTAGCAAGTCAGATTTGAAATTTAATAATTCTCTTGGGAATAGAAAAAAAAATTTAAAACGTTTTTAAAAAATTATTATGTAAATTTAAATTTTTTTTCTAAATTTTATTTAAACTACTCGAAAGAAGAAAAAGAAGACATTAAACTTATGTATTAATTGCAATGCTGATTTTAATTTATTAAGGTCATTACTGTCTGACTTACATCAGCCTCATTTTTTCATATTTTATTTTATTTTTTCTCATTTAAAATATACTTTAAAAATGAATATATTTTTACATAAATTTAGAAAAGGAAAGAATATTGTAGCTTATAGGCCTATATTTGCACTCGATACAACGACGTTATCCATGATTTGATAATAACCAACATTATCGAGCATGGACAAACATCATCCATTAACACATCGATGACGATATATTCTATATAAATCTATTTTATCTGTAATGTTCGGATGCTTTATATTCAAATTAATAAATCAAACACCTGCAAATTATCTCATAAATTTAAATTAACAAACGGAAAAATGTGTAGTCAGTTCGTGCTTATTATATAGTTCTTTTCTAATCGATACGTTTAATAATTAAAGTATATAACCTACGAAACTCGTAATCATAAAGCCATAAATTACATCAGAAATTTCTTATATTCAAATTAAACAGATTCATATATTTGTTAAATACCTATATTTCGATAGAAGCTGCTGTCTTGGATAGTCAACTCTTTCTTAATATTTGCAAATTATTGTTTGTATATATATATTTATTTATTTATGGGAAATAAACTGTAACTAAAGAGATATCAAAGGAAAATCAAGTAGACCAACATTAAATAAAACCTGGAAAATAAAAGCCTATAGAAATTTTTCTACCCGCATCATTGGAAAATCTGATGGCTCCATCTTGGAATCTCGTAAATTTACAACTCTTCAATTTATACTGATACGGATTCATGCCAGAGATCATGACTCCGTAAAACAATTATTAAATAAATAAATTAATTAATTAATGATATTTTTATTACAAATTACATAAATTGAATGCGATGCAATGGGAATTACTCATCTGGCAGCTCGACTTGTGTGATTTCGCGATTGCGTGGGTAATATCAATTTCATAAATCAGAAAATGGTGGCCAATATGCCATCTAAAGTCGTTGATGAACTCTAATGTAACTTTTTCCATTTCGTATCTGATAACATAATTAAAAATTGAAGGCGATTTATCAATTATTATTACTATTTTAATTTTATTAAATGTTCGCTTTAATAAAGATCTATTAAACATTGAATTGAATGGTGTATTTTATATGGATCTGTAAATTCGTACGTAATGTTTAACTCTATATTATTTTAATTTTATTGGAAATTGAAAGTATTAATGTATCCTATTGTGAAAAGATTCTCTTGGTTGATTAATTTGGTTAAGTAAAACTGTTTAGAATGCAGACGAAAAGCCTATTAACAATTGAAGAAAGATGGCTGCTATTGTAAACGAACATAATTACTGTACTTATCAATAACACAATTATAAACAAAATTGCATAAATATAACCCGTTAATGATAGTTAACTCAATTGTTAACTGAATGATTTAATGAGAATAAAAGACCAAAAGCTGTGAAATGGCTTCAGTTAAAGTAGAAAATTCAATAATCTAACATTAACATTTGATATCAATTGACATATTATTATTGGAAGTAATGCCATAATTTTTCAGGAGATTTCGAATAAGTTTAAGAACTAAAGCTACGATTAAGCTATTGAATTTAGTTATGATATAATTTCGAAAAGGACAGACGTCAGATTTACGCCATTAAAAATGGATAAAGTTTTCCAAAAGATATTTTATTGACTTAAAAATAATAAAAAAATAAATAAATAAAATCTTTTGAAATTTATGAGAAAATTTGTGTAAATGTGTGAAATTTGTGCAGAATTGTCCAATTTGAAAAAAGAAAAAAAGTTTAGGAATAAGATTTGTAATTTCTCGAATAAAAGAGGGAGATTTGAAATTCAAATTGGGCGGTGGTAGAAGAAAGAATTTCTAATGGCAAGACTCAAACATCAATATTGGAATATGAATCAAGATAACTTGAAGGCAATTTTGATATTTGACTTCTCTATTCCTGATTGCTTGACGAATGGATTCTTACACGATTAGAAAGTCGTGATTTATTGTCTAATGAAAGTTGTAAAGAAAATTTGAAATGTCTAATCAACCAAGAAATTTTATTTGACAGCCGACGTTGAGTTTTTTATTGTTTTTTTAAGATAAAAGAAATCAGAAAGATCGTTCCTTTCTCTTTAAATATCAAAATTTTGATGTCATTAGGATTGATGAGATCATCATTTCGGCAGTAATCAAATAATTCATTAATTTTCTTTGAAATTTCATTATGGAGCAACTAGGTTTGTATTGTTAGGAGTAAAACCGTATTATTAATCTAAATGCTTTAAGTTTTTCTTTTTTCTATTAAATGTAGAATAAATAAATGAGGCTGGGGAAAAAATCTAGGAAACACTCAGAAACGTAAAAAGAATCGAGGAGTCGATTATCCTTTGAGGAATTTTGACAGAAAATTGAGAAATTCCTGTAAAATTGAAGATAATACTTAATATTCTGATTTAATTCATCAAATGATTACCGAAATCAAATTCAGTTTACAAATCGTCGAAACAAACAGCTGATGTAATTTTTTATTAATTTGGATTTTCATTAAATAAATGTGTATTTTCGTTTGTTTTTCTTTATGGCAAATGAATTTAATGTTTTCAATTTGATATTTAAAAAAGAGGAAGTGTACAATAGATTTTTTTTTTTTGCTCATTACACTAAAACATCGTTTTGTAGTTATTGTACAGTACATTGTTTTAAATTATTATTAAAATATTTTAAATTCGATTTAATGTAATTTTATTTCTTTTCTTAAAACTAAATAATTTAATAAACAACGTTGTAATAAAGTAGATTATTATTAACCCAATCACATCTGTATCAAATCACTGCCTCCATCTATGAGTAGAAAATGCAACTATTGAGAGAACTGTAATGTGGCGCCATCTGATGTTACGATTTGAATTTAACACCATTTTATGAATATTTTAATAATTATTTATTATTATTATTATTATGTAGAAAAAATTCAATTTATCATATACAATAAAGTGAATTTTAATTTGATAAAATATTGTTGAAAATATATATTAAAAAATTGAATGGATAATTAGTTCTAGTGAAAAGTAGAATACAATATAATAATAAAGTAATGACGTTTAAAAAATAAATTAATTATTTTTATTAAATATATAAAACACAAAGAGCAGTTTACTGCCGTTTTTACACGTAACACAAATTTCATTTTTTTTTAAAATTTTATTTTATTATTCTTCGTCCATTAGAGGTAAAATGAAACAACGCGTTCTTCGAAAGGAATACGATGAGACATAATAATAATGATGACGATGATCGATATAATTAGATTTAAATATCTGCTGGAATTTCTCCGCTCTTCTCAGTGAAGTAGGACACAGCACACTTTGTCACCTTGACATTTGACTCCCAATTCTCTAGGTGCTCTGTGACACTGATCGCTCGTAAGACATTCTCCTCCTCTTGTGTGGCAATCGGATGGAGTAGCTATAAATAATACAATATTAATATTAATTGGTGGTCGTATCTGATTCTTCTTTATCGTCGATTTAACTGGAGCATTACTAGATAGAATTTAATTATATTAATCAGACATTTTTTCTATCTATTTCTTTGTTTATTCGGATTCTTAAGCAAAGTTATTCGACCTACTACCCTATATGCTCTAAAATAATCGCATATTTAATTAGTTAAGTTGATAAACTCCAACCTATTTCGACTGGAAGTGATTTCAAAGACACATCCAGACAAAATACAATTCGAATCAATTGTAAAAGAATGAAAATTGTTCACCTTCGTGACAACACACGACACCACTTTCTTCTTGTTCGGGACAAAGACCAGTTGTTTCTGCTCTCATAATGACTGGGCAGTTACTTTTAAAGATGCAGTTGCCACCTGTTCTTAAGCATGGCTCCTCGTTGCGCGGATGCCTACCTGTTCAACCAATATTTACACGTATAAAAACACTATAATTAAGTTCGAGAAAATAGTTCTTCCTACGACTTTAAATACTCACCGACGGCCAAAATAAATAACGCCAAACAAACGGACCAAAATAAGCAACAATTCATGGCGCCTGCAAACCAGAAATGAACTTTTATCAATGACCCGGACGTGCTTATCCCCGCAATTTTATAATAATCTCATTTATGACGTCATCGGGAACGATCAGCCAATCCTAGTTTGGAACATTGTAAAAAAATTTCCTCTTGTGTAATTATTTTGCAATTTTAAACAATTTATTTTTGTTATTTTAAAACGTTCGAAATTCATTCATATATATATTTTAATGTTGTTTTAATCTTTTTATGTTATAAATAAATTTGCAGCTTGTAAGAATCGTATTAAATAATATTTATGAGGGATATAAAATACAGCCATTGCGTGTTGTCACGTTACAGAGAATCTAAAGTACCTTTCGGTTCTTTTTAATATATCCAGAAATATCTTTTAATGATTATTTATCAAAAATTTCGTATGATTTAATTGTATTAACCTGTTTCATTTATTATTTTTTCTAGTTATAGTTTCACAAATAACAATTTAAATCCGGATATTTCACTAATATGGAGGAGCGTGAAGAATATGTTTCTCTTTTTATGGATCGCATAAAACACGTTTGAAACTTCTTTTACTTTTTCATTTGTGTCATGACATATCTTTCACGTCTTTAGCTATTAAAAACAATAAAAATCTCTTCATTTTAAGGTAAAAATATTTAAAAACTTCGTTATCATTTACTTAAAATCAAATATCTCTTTGGGGAAAACATTTCTCTGAAATGTTACCCCCATTTACTACAAGAGGAAAAATGTCTTCAATTATTAAAATTGAATTGAAAAAAACATTTTAATAATTGTAAGAGTGAAAATAAATTGTATATTTTCTAATTTGAGTAAGGTTGAATCCTTACAGAAAGGAATTTCTTGGCATTTTAATCATACCTCGACAAAGGGGGAAAAAACACTGTAAAGATATTAATTCACTTATATTTTAATTACCAGCGAATGTTAATTGTTAATTAAAAACTTGATTCTTGTCCTTGTATAATTAATATTATAATTAAAGATTAATTTTATAATTAAAAAAAAACACACACACAATTAAAATTGTCTGATGGGAAGAAGGAAGAGGTTTCTTCTTCAACTGGTACGAGGTCATTTTCATCTTTAAAATTTTATATTTCGAAATTACAAACATGGAAAATTTAAAGATTCGCCTAAATGTAAAACTAAAAAAAAAAAAAAAAAAACATTTCCTGTTTCTCAATGTCTAAAATAAAATAGGAATAGGAAAAACCCACGTCTACGAAATTGGGTCATGTGTGTTTTGCCGTTAAAATGCGATAGTCCCATAGTTGCCATGCCATGCCAATAATTATAATTATATATATTATAAATATATAGTGCATATAATCATAAGTGCGTGAAATTAGGGCTTATTGTCTAATTTAGGAGTTTAAATAAGTAGTTTTTTAAAAGATCCTCCGTGTGATTAGCTCGACCTTAAAATTACGACTCTACCGCATCGAGTAATCGACAATACCTTATTTATAAAATGTATATTTTTATATTCTTTGATGAAATTTTTCGAATTCTTATTTTATTTTCCCTATTTCTCTATTCCTTAAAATTCTGTAAAATGCCCTTTTCTTGTTTTCCTGGTAGGGATCTTCGCACTCTTCTCCAGTAAACAAGGCTAACATCCGTGTTAAATGTAGGGCCTCAACTCTCGTCAGCATCTCGTGTTGAATGAAAGGGCCTCTACTCTGTGGAGGGCCCTTTTTATAGCAAATCCACAATAGGGCGACCGAGTGGGCCTACTATAATAAAGGGTCCTCCACAGGAGGAGTTAAAAAATAATAATTAACTTTAATTATTATTTAATTAATTTATACTTTAAAATTTTTTTTAAAATATTAT